GTTTTTCACTTTACGCGTTTCTCGCTTTCCGCGGGACCCTCCGGGTTACATTAACCGCGTAAAGTGAGGACCAACTGTATATATATATATACTGTATATAAATTTTTTCTTTGTCCCACTATACACGTGCTAGTATGAATACCATGATATATGTTGCCATCCCTCTCCCTCTTCTCATGTTCGTTCACGAATTTTTTCAGGCTTCTGCCCTGGGTTTTCTAATTACTCTCAGAATGCAGTTGCTCCACTTCCCTTGACGGAACTCTCCTTTTGAGGAATGGTATCCCAATCCTATCTCGAACACGTCCGTACAAACGACCACGGCTGCTGTCGACTCCCATGCAGCTGATGGATAACATTGAGTGTAAGGATGATCCAAATAGGCCTTGGGTAACATTGGTAAGATCTAAGTCTTCATTGTTTTCGACCACATCTGAGTCTGTGGATTCCTTATTCAAGGTATTTTATGAAAATGTTTCTAAACTTCCTGATCTCTCAGCACTTACAAAGAGACAGGAAGGCCAAGCAACTGTGGGTCATCATGCATTGTTTTTAGAAGGTAATACTACAATTTCTTGGCCTGATATTTGCACATAAACATAAAAGAATTAGCAGTAGTCCTATTCTTTTTGTTGGCAAACCCAAATTTAAAAAACATGACGTTTGAGTTTGCCATGGACAACAGAACGGCAGTGTTTAGTCTCAATCATCAAGGCTCAACCAGATCTTGGCCACTTCTCACTCTGTCCAAAAAAAAAAAAAAAAGTTTGTGTAACGCAAACACTTTACCTCAAAGCAGCTCACATACCGGGAGTACAAAACAATTGGGCAGATGCGTTGTCCCAACTCAGGCCAGTATCGACAGAAACAGAATGGTCCCTAAAGATATCGAAGTTCAAGAGTCTAGTGAGGAGGTTTGAGACTCCACAAATAGATCTCTTTGCCTCACAAAACAATCCCACCCCTGCATCCGACTTAGAGCCGTCAGTGTATACAGGAATAGTCCCTCTGTGAGAGGAGGCATGATCTAAATACATGTAAAGAGAATTAGCAACACAGAGATGGAGTAAGTCCTTCCTTTCATTAAATTATTGACAGACTTAAACTTCAGGGAGAATCCACGGAGCAGCACTACGGAACCTCATGGGGCATATCTGAACAGGAGGAAGACAAAGAATTCTCACAACTTCCCTTACCCTGAAGCTGAAAGGTTATGGGAGGCCTGGGTGCTGAGTGTAGTGTGGGGACATAGCCTTGTCAACTACACAAGTGTTGGTTACAGACTGTGGAAGGCGGTGGAGGCGAAACCAACACTGGACTTGGAGATACTGACGTCGAAGATCAAGGGGTGGCTCATCAGCATGAACGAGTTGACCATACTGCCACAGCTGCTTTTCATAAGAAGTTTAAGGCACTCATAAGTCATTAAGAACATTACCTGGATGTTTCTTTGGCTAACTAAGGTGCTCTTCTATCACCATCACAACAAATTAAAAAATAAAATAAAAAATCCTGGCTTTGTTTAGTCAGGTTTTGGCCCTATATTTTCACAATCATCAGGTTGGCATCCTCCCCCCCCTCATTATGTCACTGCTTACCTTCCCCAAGAAATAATAATAATCATAGTAACATTTAACAATAAAAATGATGATGGTGATTTATAGCTGATGATTGTGGTGATATTATATGATGAAACACAATATTTCAGTGAAATTCCATATGTTAACTTAAAGGAGACTCCCGCAAGGTACATCTAGGCCAGGTTTTAATTTAATCTCATAGGAGCAGATAGTAGCACAAGTCACATGTGTAAAACATGTAAATTTGTACTCTAGATGAATTTGTTTTTAAGAACCAAATCTTCAATATCATATTTCAAACTACTGTAAGGAAACTTCCCATATTGTATCTTGCATTTTCATTACTACAATGTGTTTAAACACTTGCTATAATGTTTGAGTGTGAGTAAATGAACAAACTTCATGACACATTAACCCCTTCACTACTGAGATGCCACTTTTATTATTTTATTTGGCTAATGCCAGACAATTTTATTAAGTGAAAAGGGGGTAAGAGTGCATAAAAAAGTAGGGGAAGAAAACCTTGGAGTTTTAATTCAGTTAATATTCACTATTAAAAACTGTTGATATGTAAACACTTGTGTTACAATGCTGTCTGCTGAAACACATCACCAACCTGATTGACTTCTACTTCATATCATTCTGTATTTGTAACATGTCATGATACTGTAATATCATTTAATGAGGGTAAATGGTTCACTCTTTTCTGTCCAATTAACTTCTTCTTGTATCAATTATGTTCCAATTACAACAATAGATATGCAGTTTTCTTTCCAAACATCAGTCACATAATATTTCTATCTCAACTAGGTACAAGAATCTAATTGCTGTACAAAAATTAGTTAAGATTTGCACCATATGTTACATAGGAAATAATGTTCTTCTAGATCCTAGCAACCAATCTTAGTAATAATTCAACATGAATCACCCGGTAACTTTGTTAGCAGATATAACTACATAGATACTTTGTGCATAAAAAATGGAGGTAGCAATAAGAGGTAGTCATTGTCAGGCATTAGTTATCTTAAAAACATTTCTCTGGTTATACTGTAGTACTTTTACGTCATCCTTTGGAACGAGATAACAAGTTAACAATAAGTAAATATGTTATCAAAATCTTACAACACTTTTAATATGAGACAATATTCTGAGATCATCATGCTGATTAGTAATAGTGTAACATCACAGTACAGTAGTATTATGCTAACTGATGGAGTCCAATACGTTTAAGGAAACTCTTTGCCCAGGTAGGATTTAACTTGACAGGTCCACCATATTCTTCCAGTAGGCTTGGTTCATACTGCATCAACACTTGCTTAGCTGTTGCAATCGCCAAAAATGAAGAAACCTGTGTAAAATGTAAAATACAGTTAAAAATTAGGTTTACTGACACTATAAGAGTGTAAATAAAATAACTTACAACAATTGTAAAATTACTGTACTGTATATACACATGTATAAACTGAAGTCATATACTGTATACAGCAGTTTGACCCCTGATTACTGTATTTGGTAAAAAAGCAAAAAATTTTCATATCTTTTGTATAATTCGACCCAAAGACATATTTTGTAGCAAGACAACTGATTCACATCAACGTGTCTTGGTTGTGATTACCACCACAACAGCTGTTGCTTTGAACAGTCTTACAAACTCTGAAACTGAATTTCCACCAGTTACCAACTTTTATTTATAAATTTCACTACATTCATCCCATAAGTGACTTTACCTGTACACTGTAACATCAAAGCTTAAAATTGTATGCATATAAAGAGCAGTAATCAAAGCATATAAATAGCAATGATGACAACATAAAGAAATAAAAAGTGATACAAGTTACTGTACAGACAACAACAACAACAAAAATTTCTGCACCTTAAGGTGTTATACATTCATGAGTTATGGGTTTTATATGTATTCCTAATAATTTCTCTGTATTAACTACAGGCATACATGACATACATACCATATATTGTGGCTTATAAGTGACTTGGCATTTTCATTTCAACAGTTCTCTGTGTTTTTTTTTTTCAGGGGGGCAACTGTCATTGAGCATTATATGAATACTGTATACCGTAACTGCATTGTTTAACAATTTAACAACAAATATTACAAGTAAACTGCTCTATTGTTTATTTGCAAAAAACAGTAGTTAACACCGAAAGATATTTTAATGCTTTGAAAGGTAGGTACTACCGCCTGGGAAGATGTTGGAAGCATAATGTGTTGTCTAATGGTAGACCCTGCTGCCATATGGCATCATGGAAATTGTGACCAAGTCCCAGGTTGCTGATCTGACTTTCTGCCTCATTTACACACAATTGCAGGGTCTCAAGTGTCCTCTGTAGATACAAGTGTAAATATATATATATACGCATGTACATATAACGACTTGCATCCGTCCACCCATCTCAGAGAAGTGAACTAAGATAGACATTTATTTTTTGTGAACAATTCTGCAACTTCCCTAAATAAGTGTGAGTCTTCACACACACACACACACAGAGGAATTAAGACAATAAGCATCTAGTGAGGATCCTGTTGTGTGACTGCATGGAGGCGAATCAAAATATCAGCTGTTGAGGAGCTTATTGCTTGGCAACACTGGTGCATGTTACCACTCCTTTCCACTCCATCTCTCTAATCAACCACATCTTTCTGCTTTCTCACTCCATATTTTATAATGTTATGTAAGGTAACGTTGAAGGGATACAACTTTGCTCATTTATACTTATACTTATCACAATATCCCCAAAAATACTTTAGTTTTTGTGTTTATTCAAGACATCTTCAGGTCATGAGACCCACTAATCCTCCGCCAAGAAAGGGTGACCTAATATTCTATCAGAAGGTCAGTAATGTGAGACCACTAATCCCCCACCCTACCTACACCTGACACCGAGTTAGGCGAGGTCCCCCAAAGTACTTTAGCTTTTGTCTTTATTCAAGGCATTTTCAGAAAATGCTCTCGATTTTCAACCCCGGAAAATTTGTTCCAAAAGCCGGATATTTTTGGATAATTCCGGCTTTGGGAATGATTTTCCGAGCAAATTTCAATTCCGGCTATCACAGAGTTCCGGGTTTGCGGGATTCCGGCTAACGGAGATATTACTAGAGTATAACTCGGGAAATGCTGTAGGTAGGTAGCAGATAGTGGGCAGCTATCAAATAGGGCCTGGAAAGATATTGGAAGCATAATGTATTGTCTAATGGTAGACCCTGCTGCTATATGGCATCATGAAAATTGTGACCAAGTCCCAGGATGCTAATCTGACTTTCTGCCTCATTTACGCACAATTGCAGGGACTCAATTGTTTCTCTTACTTGATAGCACAGCATACATATAGCATTTCTCACTACTGATTTTTATTTTTTATTTTTGTATTTCTTTATTATTATTATTATTATTATCATCATTATTATTACAGTGTTGTTATTATTGTTATCATTATTATTTTATTTTACTTTTTATTAAAAATTTTATTTACAGTGGTCCCTCGGTTAACGAGCGCCTCGGTTAACGAGATTTCGGTTAACGATTTACCTTCCATAAGATTCTTAACTTCGGTTAACGAGCAATCCCTCGATTAACGAGTTTTTTACGAGCCGACTTCAACATGTTTTCGCTTGCATTTGGCGGTCCACCAGCTGTAGTATTAGTCCGCCAATACAGTAATCGGTTTTAGGGCTTAAATTCCTTACTATTTTAGTAAATATCAAGAAGTTTATACTATTCAATAATTTTAAAAGTTTAATATTAACTTTTTTATTCATTTTAACAATTATTGAACATAATTGAAGGTAAAGAAACTAGTTTCTGGCGTGCCATCCAGCCTGTTAACACACCAGACTGGCGTTAGTCTCTCTCTGTTTTCAGTGGAGGTAACATCTTGCTTGAGACTCTCTTGAATTAAACGCTTTTTTTCGGTGCTTCCAAGCAAATTATTGGTCATTTTGAAATATATTTTACATATTGACAATATATAATGCAGTGCAGTGTTGATTTAAAGAAAATAATCTTGAAATACACCAAGAGAACTAAAATTTTATGGGTGAAATGGTGCCATGGGGTGACTTCTCTTCCACCCCAATGCCTTCTCTTCTCCCTTCTCCTCCACCCCCATTCTAATTCCCATCATCATCATCATCATCCAGGAGCCTTCTACATACACACCTCAAAGTAAGTGTACTTTTCTCCCTTTTTTGTTGAATTTAGGCAATTTTCGGTGAGCTGGAACCAATTACCCAAAAACCCATTGAAACAATGGTTTCGGTTAACGAGTTTTTCGGTTAACGAGCAACCTGCTGAAACGGATTGTGCTCGTTAACCGAGGGACCACTGTACTATAAATTATTAGTACAGTAATAGCCCGATTTACGAGGTTCCTGTTTACGCGTTTCCACATTTACGCGGTACCCCGCCAGAACCGGAATTCCCACTTTACGAGGTGCATCTACTCATATACGCGGAGAGCGGCTGGCAGTCCTGCCGCGCCGCCATTTTTGGATTCAAACCTCCTGCCATGCTGGGGCAAGCGGCGTGAGTAGGTTGCGCAGTGGATGCCTTTGTTGCATTATCGCTGATGTCATATGACATATCGGACTGTGATTGGGCCACGCATCCTTACCTCCCTCCGCCGCTAGCTGTGATTGGTTTAATGTAAAATGACGTGCCTTCCCGCTGGCGGGTAGAAGGCGCTTGACCTAGCTGCGTCAGTTACATCCTCCCGGCCACACCGTGGTATCTATTGTTCCGTAACAATGGCTGCCGCCGGACCACCACCACCACAGAAAAACCTTGCATTACCTAGACCCAGCCGCCCTAAGCCAAAGAAGATACGACGTGCCCTAAGTTACGAGGTGAAGTACAATATAATACAAGAGTTAGAAAAAGGAACAAGACAGGTTGATCTCGAGCTCCAGCATGGTGTTAACGAATCTATGATCCGGACGATCAAGAAGGATGCAGCCAAGATAAAAGAACACATGAACATCACAAAGTCTGCAGGTGCTTCAATGATCAAGTATTGCCAGGAACAAGGTGCTTCTCAAGACAGAAAATTTACTTGTGTGTTACTTGATTTGTCAGGCAAGACGGAACATGGCGGTCGACACGCGGTCAGTTCAGGAGTACGCACGTGAACTGTACGCAGCAGTGTCACGTAAGATGGGAATTACAGAGCCCAAACCCTTCAATGCTTCCTCTGGGTGGCTGCACAGGTTTAAGAAGGGGAACAAGATCACCAACATTAACATTGGTGGTGAAGAAGCGAGTGCTGACCGTGTTGCGGCTAGGGATTTTCCTTCATTCTTACGTGAGATTATGGAGGAAGGACAGTACACCGATGACCAGGTGTTCAACATGGACGAATTCGGTCTGTTTTGGAAAAAGCTACCTTCCAAGACCTTCGTTGTCCAGTCTGCCAGCAAGTGTCAGGGCCGGAAGATGCAGAAGGAGCGCATCACCGTCCTCTTCACCACCAATGCCTCCGGTTCCTGTAAACTCAAGTCATCGGTAATCCACACAGCCCGCAAGCCACACGCCTACAAGAACATGGGCATGACCAAGCTAAATGTCCACTGGCTGACCGTACGTGAGGCGTGGATGTTCTCTGCTCTGTACCTCTCCTGGTTTGATGACTGTTACGTTCCCGACGTGAGGAAATTCTGTGAGCAACAGAATGTTCCATTCAAGATTTTGTTGCTCCTTGACAACGCACCAGGACACTCGCCCCTACTGTTGGATCGTCACCCCAACGTAAAAGTGGTCTTCCTTCCTCCCAACACTACGTCATTAATCCAGCCCATGGACCAAGAAGTAATCTGCAATGTGAAAGCTGCATACTCTGCAAAGAACTTTAAGCTCCTGAACGACTGTACCAACACCAAGGATGAGTTGAGTAACCTGGGTGACACCGATAGCAAGAGCGACGAGGACGAGGAACAACAGTTGGCGGAGCAAGAAGTTCTCCTCAAACACTTTTGGAGGAAATTTAACGTCAAGAAAGCTGTGGACTTCTTGGTGGAGGCATGGGATCAGCTGTCTGTAGCAACGGTTTGTCACACATGGAGACATGTGTTGCAAGGTATCCCAGGTGGGAGGCAGAGTCAACCTGTGACTGGTGAGGTTCAGTCGGTTGCAGTAGCAGTGGACCTTGCCAGAAAAGCTGCGCAGAGTGTTATAGCTGCAGACTTTTCCGAGACCACCAACGAAGACATCCTGGAGGTGATCAGGGATCCTGAGGTGACTGCCGACAAGATGTTAGAAGACAATCACGTCAGTGAAGAGGCTGGTGGTGCGTCATCCCGACAAGAACACAAGTTAACGCATGGTAATGTTAGGGGTGCCA